AACCCAAAACCCAAACCCAAACCCAAACCCAAACCCAAACCCAACCCCAAACCCGCTTAGAGAGTTATTAGATCCTTAACAGGGATTACAGAAGTGAAATCCCACATTTTGTGGAATACATATAAGATGGTTTTTCATTGTGTAAGTATTGCCAGACATGTGGTTTTTTTCAAGTGAACCCTCGGTTAACTTGACTGATGATGTTAATCATTATCTATTTAATAGTTCCTGTGTGACATTTTCTGGTATGAGAGAGGATATTCCTTTGGAGTTATGATATAAATAAATTTAATTTAATTTAAAAACCTAAAATAATATCAAGTCTAAATAATTAAAAAGTTGGTCTAAGTGATTTTTATAAGAGCAATAAGCATCGAAAACTATTCTGATATTTCAACATAATTCCATTAAGTATTTCTTGAACCGATATTTTAATGTTTTTTGACAAGTTGTATTAATTTTAAAGATCCATCCATATAACAAACTAGCATGACCAATTAATTTTGACATTTATTTTCATAAATACACTGTTTCATCACTGCTAGATGCTAATGTAGAACAGGTACATACTGATTTTACCTCGCTCTCACCTTAAAAAAAATCTTAATTTTTCCTGTTTTTGCATCCCGAAAATGAATGGACTTATCATTGCTGCAAGAAATTAAGAACTGACCATCTTGAGTAAAGGAAACTGAATTTACTCTACCATAATGACCATTTATTTATTTTAACTCATTTATTCTTAGATTTTTCTATTTACAATTAAATAATTTTGCTTCGTTTATAATCATTCCATTAATAATGAAATTGTCAAATTCAGATCCACTTAAGTCAGATCTGGCAAAATTAGCCGATATTAATCAAGTATTTTTAATTTTAATATTTTCAAAGGATTGTGTCTTCTAATCTACTTTCATTTCAACTAACATATGTAAAGAATTTGATCCACACTATATGTCATCTAGGGCAGTAAGATGAACAAAAAGATGGGACTTCTATTATCCTCTGATCCTGAAATATTATTGTGACTAGTACCTATTTAATTTCCTCATAAACCTCTACAGAATAATCCTGTTTATTAAAATTATGGTTTTTAATTTTATCAAGGGTAATTGTTATTTTCTTAATGTTATTTTGTCCAACATTTAGCATCTGTTCCTGATCTACCTTAAATAAGTTTTCTACCTATATTATTTATTATTCAACTTGATAGTGGTTGTATCTTATTAGAGAAATTATAGGCAGTCTTAAATTTTCTCTGTTTTGAATATTTTAATTAAAATAGAGAAGACTAATTCTTCAACATCTTTGGATAAAGCCAATATCCTATACATATCTTCACTTTATTCGTTTTAACAACTCATTTCTTTTATTTTATTAATAATTTTGAAATCTAATAATTATATGTGGTTTTCCAACTATAAATGAAAAAATATCTTAAAGTATTTTAGGAAAGAAAAATACATTTTGTACTGGATTTGGAATCGATTGTATTACACACTAAATTATTACGTGTGAGAAATTCCCGCATAATCTTTTTAAAAAGTATTGATCTAAAAGAATATTATAAAATTTTACACATTAATGAATTGATTTTCGATATTATACAAAAATTAAAACAAAATCGTAATTAAAACCAATAGCCACATCTCCTCATACAGGATTACTTTTTAAAATTTCTTTATTTCTCCATACTAGGCTATTTATGGAGGTTAATTATTTATACACAAGTAAATCCAAGCAATAGAATAATATTAGACAGTTTTTACTAAAATAGAAAAAAGTTAATTCCATATTCAAAATTACTAACACTCTCACATATATTAACTAAATCTCAAATGATAAGGAATATTCATAATATATATTTTTATTAAGGAATATGATATAGCGCTAATCAAATTACGCTATAGATTAAAAAGAGAATTTAATGCTATGTTAAATGAGTCATTACTAGAATTATTATGATGACTTTTGCTAGATAGCAATCTAATAGGAATAACTGTATATTATTTTTATTCAATAAGAGATCATTTAGTCTTATGGTAGAAGCTTTGTCTGTTAGGATTATTATATCACTATTTTGATTCTTCAAATTTAATTTTAAAAGATTATTTTAAGGTAATAATTTTTTCTAGAATTTAGATGATTTTTATGGCATAAGCTGGCTTTGGGCTTCAAGATCTCCTAAATAAAATAATGGGAAGCTAAATTTGAAAGAAGTGCATGATTATAGAGTGTATTTATGAAAAAACTACAGATTGTAAAATGAAAGCAAATATAAAATGAAGATCAAAAAATAGATGAAAATTAATATTAGAAAATTGATTTGACCCAAAGTATTTTAGATATTAACTAAATCCAAAACAAATTTGATAAAGCAATTATAGAGCAGATTAAAGGAGTCAAATAAAAAAACTCAAAGTTGTAAATCAATTTAATGAAACTTAGTAATATTACAAATAGAGTTTTAGAAAGCAATTGAATAATATTTAGGACACTGAAAATATTTTAGCACATTTTTAGTTTAGATAAAGGATAGTCTCTTAGGCAAATTGTTCATATTAGCTCTAAACAAACGTAAAAGTTTTTTGTAGACTATTTAAGCAAATAATTATTTGCTTGAATAGTTCAATGGATTTAATAGAACACAATACTAAAGAAATTATAGAAATTTGCAATATAAAAGCAAAAAAATAATCATATCGATTTAAAATGATATTTTTCAATTTCTATAACCTATTGTTTTTCCTATTTCTATTAATAAGTAGCCAAGAAATCTCAGAAAAATGCGTTTGTGGACATGCTCGTAGCTAAACTTAATGCTAAAACTCAGGTTTATGCATCTGGTAGAATGGGGGGTGTGTTTTAAGCTCCGCTAGAACATACATTAAAGAGAACTAAGATGAAAGCATATGCAAAAATTTTGCAGAAGAAGATTGTAGAATATAAAAGTAATGTGGTTTTCATTTGGGTCACTGTAATAGCTTCATCGATTGCCTAGTATTCAAAAAAGATTAATGCTAATAATCTTCCTATAGATGTGTTTCTGATGGCACAAAGTGTGTTGAAATGTTGGAATGTAATAAATACAAAACCGAGATAGGATGCTCTAATAAAAATTTAAATGGTGGATATTGTTTTTGGGTTAAGGATATGGTATGGAAGTGTAGAGATGTTATTATATGCGAAGAGCTACCAATATTTTTGACGTCTCATATCATGTGTACTTAAGGTCTAAAAGGGTGTACTGTAAACGAATAAGGATATGGATGTATTAAATAAAAGGACTAATGCACTTAATACTTCAAAGACTTTTAATGCTTTGAAAGCAAAGAGAAAACCTAAAACTGCTTTTGGGATATAAAAAATGGCAAATGTGTTGAAAGAGTATGCGAAAATCTACCTTTCACTTAAGATTATGAATGTAAATCATATTTAAGTGAATGTACATCAAATGGGATTCATTGTATTAAAAGGAAGTAATGCAGTGATGCTCAGAACAAATTTGGTTGTGTTACAGATGCTTAGGGAAACAAGTGTGAATATCATAAAAATTAATGTTAAATCAAAAGCTGTGACACTGCTTTGGATTCACTTAAAAATTATCAATAATGTTAAGAATATGATAATTATTTAGATTGCGTAACCTCTGAAAATGGAGGATGTAAATAAAGACCTTAAATATGCGAAGGTTACGTAAGCTAAGTAGATTGTTATTCAATTAAATAATAAGATTGTATTTGGTAAAAAAATAAATGCAAAAAAAGAGAATGTATCGATGCTCCACTTTATTTTAGTTAAAAGGATTGTAAACAATACGGAAATTGTATAGGCAAAGTAGATGGTGGATGTTAATAGACACCAGAGGTTTGTGATGAGATTTTATAAGAATAATTTTGTGAATTTAATTATAATAGCTAAAGTTGTATTTGGCTCCAAGGGAAATGCACATTACTAGAATGTAATAAATTGAAATTGCCAACTTACAAAAATCATAAATTGTGTTAAGAGGCAAGTTCAAGTTGCACATTTAATCTCGATAATTTTGGTTGTAAAGATTTTATATGTGAAAACATTTAAGAAATTGAGTTTTGCTAGATTGATTCAAAAGGAACGGTTTGCTAAATTAATTAAGGATGTATAGACAAAAAATGTCTTACTGCTCCACCAAATTATGAGAGCAATTCACAATGTGAAGAATGGTTACCATTTTGCACAGTTAATGTGTAAGAGTTATCAAATTCTAAACTATTGATTGGATGTGTTGATAAAAAGAGTTAATGCGAAGTCGCTTAAGAAGAACAATGCTATTCTACATCTTCTGGAATTAAGTGTAAATGGGATAAATTAGGTAAAATGTGTATTTATTCAATTTGCACCGATGCAGATCCTAACATATTTTTAACAAATACAGATTGTAACTCATATAAAGTGTTAGAGGGTACTTGCATAATAGGAACTCTTGGCTTTGGATGCTAACTATGGTCAAATACTTGTGATGATTTGATAAGTTAATAATAGTGCGAATTAAATCTTTAAGATGGAACCAAATGTTTTTGGACTGGTAGCCTATGTAAACTATTGGAATGTTCAGATGCTTCTCCAATCAATTATACAAATAATATTGAATGTAATGCTTGGCTTGCTTATTGTATCTTTAATCATATTATGGGTGGCTGCATGATCAGACCTAGTAATGTTGATTGCACATCCTCTCCAAATGATATTATGTATGATACACACTTTGAATGTTAAGCATGGAATCCTACATGCACTGTGAGTTCATCTTTTAATTTAGAAGGCTGTGAATTAAAAAAGGCAAATTGTTCTGACTACATCAGGCAAAGAAATTGCAAAACGAATTTGGCTGGTTAACAATGTTATTGGACTGATTTTTACCAAAAATGTATGGATTAGAATGATGATGGAGATTGTAGCATGAGAATATATGGAGATTTATCACATTAAAATTGCGAAAATTTTCTAGAAAAGTGTACAGTACAAAATATAATTAGAACTTGTACAAATCTTTCATACTATTGTGATTATAAATTAGAATAACAATGTGTAATAACAATGTATCGTTAACCTTGTAAATGGGATGCAAGAAATAAACTTTGCAAAAATCTTCTTTGTAGTGATAATATGACTGCTCAAACTGAAGCTGAATGTTTAAAATTTATATTATATAGATAGTGTCAATTAAAGATTCATTCGTCCGGATCTTTTGGACCTGGATGTGAGGATAGGCCATATTCTTGTAATTATATTACGGATCCTTTAATATGTAAATTAACTCTAACATAGTAGCATCAAAGATGCTATTATTCTAAATTTTAATGTTACGCTGTAGGATATTAATAGTGTGAAGCTATTGAAGATAGTAAAAGCAATGAGGAATGTTAGTTACACAATTCCTAATGCGTACTTTAATCAAGTGGATAAGGATGCTACTCTATTTACGGTTGTTAAGTTTTATCTAATAATGTTTGTAAAAGTGCTATAATGAAATTCAATCATAAGTGTAACAATTATGGCGGCAGATGTTATCTGAATTATCATTGCAACAATTTATCAACTGATAATTGTTACGGAAGAAAAGCAGGTTTAGGGTAAATGTGTTATAGAGAATGCGGATATTATAGTTGCGACTCATCATGTATAACTAAAACAATAGAATATCGAATAATATTTCAATCATTCTAAACATTTTAAGAAAGGAGCAAATTATGTTAAGATTATTCATCAAATTACAGATATGTTACTAGTTGTTAGTGCTGTCAAAGTATGAATGATTGCAGCCAACAATAAGGTGGATAATAATTATGTGATTCTTCAATTGCAATTTAAAGTTCAATTTCAAGTTCAATTTCAAGATGTGGATATGATTATTAGACAAATACTTGTTAGAAGAGAATATGCGAGCATATAAGTTATATTAATTATCCTGTCATTACAGATTAAATTTGTTTTGATTGGGGATATGATTGTGTCCTTGGTGTTTCTGGTTGTATAGTTTTTACAGGAAATTGCACATTAATTAAATTAATTTATCAATGTTATTCATAAAATTGCTATTGGTAAGATAGTAAATGTGTAAATCATATTGATTGCCAAATTAATACAACTGCTGTTACAACTCGTGAATGCTTATTAGTAAACTCTGATTACTGCAGATTGAATTACACAAAAGGCTTTGGATGCGCTTTTTATCGTTGTTCTCATATCACGGACGAGACAATATGTAATTCTTCAAATCTTGATGATGGATAAAATTGCAGATGGATAAATGGCTAATGTTATTTTCGTTCTTGTGAAGATTATTTACAATAATCTGAGTGTGAGAGTAGTTATGGCAGTATTT